TATATATATATATATATATATACACATACATATGTATATATATACATATATATATATACACATACACGCACACATATACAACTATACATATATTATTAGTATAGGTATACACATACAAACTTATACATATATTAGTATAGATGTATATATACACACATACACATATACAGAAACCTATATATATATGTATGTATATATGTATATACGTTAGTATAGCTGTATGTGTGTATATATGTATATTATATATACACATATACACAACTACACATATATTATTCATATAGATGTGTACACAAACTTATACATATATTATTAGTACAGGTGTATGTGTATATGAATATATACATATGTGTATGCGTATGTGTATATATTCATATACACATACACATATACACCTATACATATATTAGTATAGCTGCATATGTATATATATATATATATATATATACACGTATATATATATATATATATACACACACACAAACCTATATATCTACACATACATTTATATATATACCTACACAAGTCTATATATCTATTATTAGTATAGCCGTGTGTGTATATATATGTAAACATACACACCTATACATATACTATTAGCATAGATAGTGTATATATATATATATATATATATATGTAGTCATATACACCTATATGTATATTAGTACCTATATGTATATTAGTATAGGTGTATATACACACACACAAACCCATATGTATATTATTAGTATAGGTGCATGTATACATCCACACAAATATATATTAGTATGATGTGTGTATATATATATATATATATACACATACATGTGTATATTAGTGTATATATATATATACACACACAGATATAAACTCATATATTAGTATAGCTGTGTATATACATACACACACATATACACCTATATATATTATTAGTATATGTATAAATATATACACATACAAATATGCACCTGTTGGTATAGGTATATACGTCATAACATATAAATTATGTCAGAAGCCTCTGATCACCTTGAAGTGACTGTCACTTCTGTCCACCATCTTTGCCAGTCACCAAAAGCTCTCAAAAAATAATCTGTTTAATGAAATCAATGACATCAATATGCCTTACATATTTATTTAGTATGTTAAGTCTCCACGATAACGAAAAACATCTCAAATTTAGAACAGGGTATCGCAACACTAATGAGTCTACCTCTGATAAGGAAACGAATGCGCACTCTGCCAAATGCATTTTTATTTCCTCATGTGCATATAGCTCAGGTTCCTCCTGCCCATGCAGTGCCTTGTGGGTCACTCCTCAGATCCTGTGCTTGTCACACTTGACTTTTAAGGTTGCTCCTTGCACTGACATTCCTTTGCCTTTTGAAGCAGAAAATAAGCATAAAGCATTGCATACTGAGTGAGCTGGGTCCCTTCTATTCTCAGAAACCAGATCAAACTGAGCCAGTTATTGTTTCATGGCTAAGCCAAACAGAAACAAAAACACCAGCCAGCAGATGAGCAAAAAGCCTGTATATGGTCTGTGCCACTTCTCCCCAAAAGTGGAATTACCGTGAGGATCCGAACCCACAACATCTAGTCTCCCGTAACTTCCTGTTATTTCTCAGAAAGGAAAGATCCATTAACGTTCAGATGGATGCACGGGAGGCATCCCCGAGCTGACCTGCATGTGAGCACGTCTAGCACGGCATCGCTCTGGCCACTTGTAGGGGTAGATACCCTGGAAGATGCTAAGCCATGACAGGTCATGGACCTCTGCCCTAAAGGGCAGCCAGTGAGGCCCCCATCCTGGTGCTTTTGGGAGAAGTTTACTCAGACTTGGACATGCTGCACCCCCCTTCCCAAGAGGCAGGTGGGGACCCTAAAAATTGGGTTAGATTCCCCCCAACCAACCTGGAATTACACCCTTTACACTTGTCCCTAAATAGGCAGGTGCATCGTGTACGGTCCAGTTCCACCGTCCTGTGCTGTCCTGCTTATTTTGGGGCTTAACGTTAAGGAAAACAGACAGCTTAAAAACGCCATCATCCGAGCATGTATGTGGTCAGAGCTGGAGATATGGGATGTGCTTGACAGAATTTGCTGAGAATGAAGAGGTGTCACGTGCCCAACAGTTTCAGAGAAATAAATAAATAGATGGATGGACGGATCGATGGATGAAGAAGAAAGACCGCTGATGAAGAAGACAGACTGGCAGGATCCCAACATGGAGGCATTTTGAAATGTGAGCCGAAAACAAAAACAGTAAGTGATAACGTTGTCCCAACAAGCAAATCAGGGAACCCCAGACACACGGTGCTCATGATGAGGGT